ACCTGCCCCTGGTGTGTAAGAATATTCTCCGGGGAATCCGCCCCTGGTGTGGGCTGTGAGGAGATTCTCTGGGGGACCCGCCCCCAGGTGTGGGCTGTGAGAGGAGATTCTCTGGGGGACCCGCCCCAGGTGTGGGCTGTGAGAGGAGATTCTCTGGGGGACCCGCCCCAGGTGTGGGCTGTGAGAGGAGATTCTCTGGGGGACCCGCCCTTGGTGTGGGCTGTGGGAGGACATTCTCTGGGGGACCCACCCTTGGTGTGGGCTGTGGGAGGAGATTCTCTGGGGGACCCTCTCCTGGTGTGGGAGGAGATTCTCTAGGGGACCCGCCCCTGGTATGCGCTGTGGGAGAAGATTCTCTGGGGGACCTGCCCTTGGTGTGGGCTGTGGGAGGACATTCTCTGGGGGACCCGCCCTTGGTGTGGGCTGTGGGAGGAGATGCTCTGGGGGACCCTCTCCTGGTGTGGGAGGAGATTCTCTAGGGGACCCGCCCCTGGTATGCGCTGTGGGAGGAGATTCTCTGGGGGACCCGCCCTTGGTGTGGGCTGTGGGAGGACATTATCTGGGGGACCCGCCCTTGGTGTGGGCTGTGGGAGGAGATTCTCTGGGGGACCCGCTCCTGGTGTGGGAGGACATTCTCTAGGGGACCCGCCCCTGGTATGCGCTGTGGGAGGAGATTCTCTGGGGGACCCGCCCTTGGTGTGGGCTGTGGGAGGACATTCTCTGGGGGACCCGCCCTTGGTGTGGGCTGTGGGAGGAGATTCTCTGGGGGACCCGCCCTTGGTGTGGGCTGTGGGAGGAGATGCTCTGGGGGACCCGCCCTTGGTGTGGGAGGAGATGCTCTGGGGGACCCGTCCCTGGTGTGGGCTGTGGGAGGAGATGCACTGGGGGACCCGCCCCTGGTGTGGGCTGTGGGAGGAGATGCTCTGGGGGACCCGCCCCTCGTGTGGGCTGTGGGAGGAGATGCTCTGGGGGACCCACCCTTGGTGTGGGAGGAGATGCTCTGGGGGACCCGTCCCTGGTGTGGGCTGTGAGAGGACATTCCCTGGGGGACCCGCCCCTGGTGTGGGAGGAGATTGTCTGAGGGACCCGCCCTTGGTGTGGGCTGTGGAAGGAGATTCTCTGGGGGACCCGNAGGAGATTCTCTGGGGGACCCGTCCCTGGTGTGGGCTGTGTGGAGATGGTCTGGGGGACCCGCCCTTGGTGTGGGCTGTGGAAGGAGATTCTCTGGGGGACCCGCCCCTGGTGTGGGCCGAGGAGATGCTCTGGGGGACCCGCCCCTGGTGTGGAAGAACATTCTCTGGGGGACCCGCCCCTCGTGTGGGAGGACATTCTCTGGGGGACCCGCCCCTCGTGTGGGAGGACATTCTCTGGGGGACCCACCCCTGGTGTGGAAGGACACTCTCTGGGGGACCTGCCCCTGGTGTGGGCTGTGGGAGGAGATTCTCTGGGGACCCGCCCCTGGTGTGGGTTGTGAGGAGATGCTCTCGGGACCCACCCCTGGTGTGGGTTGTGAGGAGATGCTCTCGGGACCCACCCCTGGTGTGGGCTGTGTGAGGAGATGCTGTGGGGGACCCGACCCTGGTGTGGGCTGTAGGAGGAGATGCTCTGGGGGACCCACCCGGGGTGTCAGCTGTCAGGAGATGCTCTGGGCTTCCCAGGAAAAGTGCTTGTAGCAGCTGTCTAGGCCGTGGTGCCTGGCCCAGAGCTGCCAGGTCTTGGGTGCTCCCGTTCGCTGCTGGTCAGTGGCATATAGAAGGCAACTCTTCATGTAACAACTTGGGAAAGTAACCTTGAGCATCCCCTCAACCAGGAATACTCACCCTGGCCCAGGCCTCTCCCAGAGCTGCTGCCTCTTCCCGGGGTCTCTGGCCTGCCCTATCCTATCTCTTGCGGCTGCTGTGGGTTTACCATGTATGGTTGTGGACAGCCTCCTGGGGCCCTGCCTGGCTCGGGCTCACAGGCACACTGCCCTCCTTCCACCGTTCAGTCCTGCCCCAAGGATGCCCCCTGCTCAGGTTCAACAACACTCCAGCAGCAGCATTCCGTGACCTTCGAGTTACCCAGGAAAGCGTCCACTGGCAAGGTGGCTCCTTCACTACCTTTTGGAGCTCAGCCACTTCTGGGGACCAGACACAGGTGACACGTTATCACATCCAGACGGACTGCTGGGAACTTTAAAACTGCCGTCTTCTGTTTTATTGACAGGTAAATTGTTCAAAAATGTTCTCACGATTCAATAATTACAAAGACTCAGACTTACATTAAAAAAGTAAAAACCAGAACCCCCCTGCAGGTGCCCGTCCAGCAGAAGGCCCAGGAGGGCAGTGGGGTGGGCAGGGCTGGCGGAGCTGGGCCAGTCAGTGCCATCTTGGGGAAGAGCACATCCTGAACAGCCTTGCCAAGCAGCCGACCAGTGGGAGGACAGGGGAGGCCCGGCCCAAGCTGCGGAGAAGCTGTGTCTGCCGCAACAGTTAACCACAAGCCTCTGATGACACAGGGCCACAGAGCTGGTCACTCAACATCTGACACAAAGAAGGGTGAGGTGAAACACACGCGAAGGGCATCGCTGTGCCGTGGGCCAGGGCCAGTGTGCAGGAGTGTGTTGGGTGGGTCTACGTGATCATAAGGGCTACTAATCACCAGGGCTCCATGCGGGGGCGGGGGGGCGGGGTGTCCCAGTGGCTGCAGCGTGGCTCCCTGGGGCTCTGGCCTCCTCTCAGCCCAGCAGGCCACAGGGCCTGCCTGCACCACGACACTTGCTGGTTTTATGGCAGGAGGCAGAAGCCTTGGAAGCGACTGGAAAGCAGAGCATAGCAGACTTCACAGTAGTAGATACTGGTGACACTTCATGGCTGTGACCCAGAATGAACTTGACGCACACAGGACGCAGGGTGTCACTGGTCCTGGGCCTCTGTCCATGACCAGGTGGTCAGCAGCACTTCTGCAGCTGACTATGCAATGGCTAAATGAATAAAAAGGCCACAAACTAACCTCCACTTTCCTCTGTCTTCAAAATTCTAGTGACACTGGGAATGCTAGACGACCTCTTACTATTCTGCTAAGGTCCTAGGGTTTCAGGAACTAGGGAAAGACTGGGTACTGAGGCTGTGTCCCCAGCTGTCTGCTTCCAAAGCAGCCGTATTACAACGGGTTTCTGCTGAGGAAGTGGCGTTAGCAGGGCCCCACACGCCTTCTCGGGCTGTCAGGGGTGGGAGAGGGACTGTGTGGGGTCCTTCATGTGCAGACGGGACGTGTCGCCTCACAGCTGTGCAGACGAACGGATCTGGTCTACTGCCACGAACAATGCGGCATAAAACTGATCAATATTATAATAAAGATTTGTCTTCATCTCCGTATCTACAAAGTGATTCTACATTTCCTTGGACAGCACTGGAGGGCCCGCTCAGTCTTGGCACTGACGCTGGAGGCCATCCCCAGCTCCCTGGGCCCTGTAGCGTGCTGGCGGCTTCAGGCGTCACAGGCCGGCTGCTCCAGGCCTTCCAGGGGGAGCTGGCTCCTGTGGGGGGAGTTAGGGCTCGGTGGACCGCTGGGGTTGGAGCTATTCGATGGAGTTGAGTGTTTGGTGGAGTCCGAATCCGGCTGTGAACAGGAAGAGGGCAGGGTGAGCACCTGTTGCCCTAGCCTGGAGAGGCAGCGCCCAGCTGGACGAGAATGTCTATCCAGGGACAGCTGTGGCAACTGCTCTTCCCCTTTCGTGTCATGAGACCACACAAGCTTCTACACCAGTGATTCCTGGGGGCCTTCGGCTTGCTGGTGAGAGTCACAAATCGATGTCTCACCCCACTCAAAAATAACACAGGAATTATTACGAAAGACAGCAACTCTGTAGTGAAGAAACCAGATGAGGCGGGGCACAGTGGCTCCCACCTGTAACCCCAGCACTTTGGGAGGCCAAGGTGGGTGGATGGCATTCGAGGTCAGGAGTTCAGGACCAGCCTGGCCAACATGATGAAACCTCGTCTCTACTAAAAATACAAAAATTAGCCGGGTGCAGTGGTGCACACCTGCAACCAAGCAGTCCACATTCACAAACATGACACTCTTTCCCGAGAAAAGCATGAGGAATAGAAGGGAACTCCCCAAATGATGAAACAGCTAACAATACCCAGTGGTGAGAGACAGAATTTCCCCCAAGATCAGCAACAAGACAAGGATGCCTGCTTTCACCACTGCCACTCAACATGGCACTAGGGGTTCCAGCCAGAGCAACCAGGGAAGAAAAAGAAAGAAAAAGGGTTCCAAGTTAGAAATAAAGTAAAACCATCTCTGTTTGCAGACAATATGATTCTACACATAGAAAATCCTAAAGAAAAGAATCCACAAAAAACCAGCAAATTCAGCAAGTTATAAGGCACAGGATCAACACACACACATCAGTTCTATTTCTATACACCAGAAACGAACACAGTGAAAGGGAAACTGAAAAAAAAATTTAATTTACAATAGCATCCAAAATAATAGCTAGGAATAGTTTAAGCAGAGGAGTCAAAAATGTGTCCACCATAAATTACAAAACGTTGCTGAAAAAAAAACAGCTTAAATAAATGGAAAATAGCCCATGTTCATGGAGTAAGTATATTGCTAAGATGGCTGTTCCAGGCTGGGGTGGTGGCTCACACCTGTAACCCCAGCACTTCAGGAAGCCAGGGTGGGAGGATCGTTTAAGGTCAGGAGTTCGAGACCAGCCTGGCCAACATGGCGAAACCCTGCCTCTACTAAAAATACAAAAATTAGCTGGGCATGGTGGCAAGTGCCAGTAGTCCCAGCTACTCAGGAGACTGAGGCACCAGAATTGCTTGCAGTGAGCTGAGATCGTACCACTGCATTCCATCATGGGCCACAGAGCAAAACTATAAAAAAAAAAAAAAAAAAAAGCCAACAAAAAAAATGCATTATGAGGAATGTAAATGACAACCTGTAGAACAAGAGAAGACATCTGCAAATCACATCTCGCAAGAGCCTGCTATTCAGACCACTACAGGAGCTCCAACCCATCCACAGAAAGACAAACCACCTATTCAAAAATGGGCAAAGGCCTTGAGCAGGTATTTCTCTAAAGAACGTACGAAATGGCCAATAAGCTTAAGAAAAGATACTCAAGTCTCTAGGGAATGCAGATCAAAACCACAGTCAGGCACTACTTCACAGCCACTAGGACGACTATTAAAAAGAAAACAAAAAAACAAAAACAAGTATTGGTGAGGATGTGGGGATACAGAACCCTCAGACATTGCTGGCGGAAATGCAATAGGTACAACTGCTGCAGAAAACAGTTTGGTGGCGCCTCAAAGTTAAACATAGAATCACCACGTAAATCCAGCAATCCCACTCACAGGCATAAACCCCAATGTGAAGACAGGCACTCAATAAGTATGTGCACACGTGTTCCTAGCACCATGCACTACGGCCCAAACGGGCATCGGGGAAGAATGGGAAAACAAGGTGGGCTCTATCCATGCAGGAGAATATTATTTAGCATTGAAAACGAAACCGTGACACATGCTACAGCAGGGGTGAACCACAGCAACAGTCTGCCAAGTGAAAACCAGGCACAAAGGGTCAAAACCATTTCTAGGGGCGGGAGGAAAAAAATTCTATACGAAATGTTGGGTACTCCATTTCCACAAAATGTCCATCAGGAGAAATCTCAGAAAACTGGGGGCTGCCCAGGTGCTAAAGGGAGGGAGCGACGGGGAGAGAATGCTTAAGGGGCAGGAATTTATTTTGAAATGATGAAAATGTCTTTTTTATTATGTTTTAGAGACAGGATCTCGCTACATTGCCCAGACGGGCCTTGAACTCCTCAAGTGATCCTCCCACCTCAGCTTTGCTAGCAGCTGGTACTACAGGCATGAACCACTGCGCCCGGCCTGGGGTAATAGAGATGTTTCTGAATGAGAAAGAGGTGGTGGATGTTCTAAATGTCACTCAGTTGTTCACTTCGGTCATCTGGGCCCAGTGTGCTGGCTGATGCCTGGCATCCAAATCCTCTGCGAGGCTGAGGTGGGAGGACGGCTTGAGCCCAGGAGTTGGGAGACCAGCCTGGGCAACAAAGTGAGGCCCTGCCTCTATATTACTACTTAAAAAAAAAAAAAAAAGTTGTTTTGTGACTTTCATTTAAAAGAACAAACAAGGTCATGCAGACGAAACAGGCACTAGCTGCCTTGGGGCACGGTGCCCTGAGAGGGGTGCCATGTCCTCTGTGTGGTGTGACAGCCTGAGACATGCATCGAAGCTCCTGAGCAGGAAACAGCAGACAGACACAAGCTCTGGAGCAAGTTGTAAAGTAGCAGCAGTGCTCGCTGCAAAAATGTTACTGCCCACCAAAGACAGGCTGAGGGCCTGCTGCAGAGTAAAGGGCGGGGCGCAGGACGGACAAAGGACGGAAAGTCAGAGGATATCCAGAGGAAGAGACAGCGACCTTGGCAGTAATGTGTGCAAGGCATCTGCACGTCTGTTTGGCAGCTGATGTTAAAACATCTCAGTGCTGGGGCTGAGACGTGTGCTGGGGTGATGGGCCTGGCCCTTCTACCTGCCTTCCTCCCTCCCTCCCTCCCTCCAAGGATGGCACCAGGGGCTCAGCCCACAGCACTGAAGCTCCCCGCCTCCCTCAATTGCATTCTCACCCCCGTTCTGCACAGGGGAAACTGAGGCCAGAGCAGTGCGGCTGAGCTGTGCACAAAAACGCTGCCAGCCAGAGCAGGGCTTGTCCCCGAGGTGGTCCCCACACTCTGGCACCTAGCGCCATCCCAGGGGAGGAGCAGAAGAGAGACCAATGTGGAAGGCCAGCCCGGACCAAAGCAACCACTGATGTGTCACAAAACAACACAGGGGAGTCCCAGAGGAAGGAGCAGCCTCTGGCGGAGCCGGTAGGCTGGAAAGCTTCCATTCCCCATGGGGCAGTAACAGCCCCGCCCCCAGCCAGTGCTCCCAAAGGAGACCCAGGATCTGACCAAGAGATGGCTGCTTGGGCCTCCTGGAGGAAGGGACGGCCACCCCTGCCTCCCTGCCACCCTGTTGCCCTCACACTGCACAGAACAGCCTAAGTGGGGTGCTCCAGAAGGGCTGTCACACCACTCAGGCCCCCAGATCTTTGGCTGCTCCTACTGCAGTGGCGGCTCACTGCCAAGGCACTGCACCTGGGAACGTCTCACCTCTTTGTCAAAGTCCTGGTCTGGATCGGACATACTTCTCAGAGGCACAGCCACACCGGGCTCCGATCCACCTATGGAGCAAGGACAGCTTTCCTCTTAGGGAAAAATTCAAGAATGGAATCAAAATTCTGGGGTCTCCCCATTCCCACCTCCCACCTCCCCCAGGGCGGTGGGGGCCGCGCTTGCTCCGCACCTGACGAGGGCCACGAGATGTAGGGCTTGTTCCTGGACGGAGGCTGGCGGGCCAGGCTGGCAGGCGTGGGGCCTGGCCTTTCCTCCTGGGAGTGGGGCCCGGCACTCTGGACAGAGACAGCAACACATGAGTATGCTTGGGAGACATAAAGAAGGGTCAGCAGCGAAGTTTGTGCCACCTATGGTGGCTGTGGCCCCCTGACTTTGATGAGCAAAATGGGGGCCAGGAGGGCTCCCTGGAATGGACAAGGGCTCAGGGCAGTCTGGAACTAAGAACTGGCAACACCAACTTAGGCCAGGTCAAATCCTCTAAGAGGCATTTATTTTTTTTCTTGAGACTTAGTCTCACTCTGTCCCCTAGTTTGGAGCACAGTGGCGTGATCTCGGCTCACTACAACCTCTGCCTCCTGGGTTCAAGTGTTTCTCCTGCCTCGTCCTCCCAAGTAGTTGGGACTACAGGTGCCCGCCACCATGCCCAGCTAATTTTTGTAATTTAGTAGAGAGGGGGTTTCACCACGTAGGCCAGGCTGGTTTCAAACTCCTGACCTCAGGTGATCCACCTGCCTTGGCCTCCCAAATTGCTGGAATTGAGCCACCAGACCCAGCCTAAAAAGCATACTTCTTAAATAAAAAAGAGAAAGTATGCTATCTGTTGGTATGAAGGGCTACTTAGAAACCACCACCTGACAGCAAATGGCCTTAGGAAACCCTGACAGGCTGACGTGGTGACAGACTCCACAAGCACACCCGCAGCATCATTGCCAGAGCAGCCTGGGGTCTGTGCACAAGGCCTGTGACAGGGACAGTGCTCGTGAACACAGCTTCAGTGAGACAGGCTTGTGTGACAGGTCAGAGGACAGTGCCAGCATTGGCGGGCGGGCCCTGCCTATGGGGCGGTCTCAGCCGCCACAGCTGTCTATTGGGGAGGAGAGGATGAGGTGCCCTGCCCGGCTGGCCCGCCCCACCACGGCCGTGCACGCACCAGA